CAAAAACAAACACATCATAAATATAGTCAACACATATTTTAGTATTATTTACATACTATTATAGTATTTATAAATATTTTCAATTAGCTTTTTTATATTTTCAGTTTTCATTTAAGTTTTAGTAATATAGTTGTGTGTGTGTGTGTTTTTTTTATTTTTATATTTCTAATTAGCTTTCACTTATTTTTTATTTTAGTTTTAGCTATTTTAGTATTTCAATTGACTTAATTTCAGTTAGACGCCATGGCAACATTTCTCATTTGTGCTTGTTTTTAAGTTTAGGTTTTTCCACAGAATATTTATATTTCAGATTGGACCAAAGTGCACAAGTCATATGGACTATTTTTTTTTAAGAGCGCATTTATTGAGTTCTATGTCATTCTGCGTAAGAAGAAGACTCATACAGATCTGGATCAACATGCGGCCGAGTAAATGATGACTCATTTTTGGCTGAGCTATCCTTTTAAATGATACAAATAAGTCTCATATGAGCACACGCACACATCAGAGCTGCTTTGAGCTCTTGACCTGCAGCCAGATGTGACAAGAACAAAAGGAGACGAGAGACCGAAACAGTGTGTGTGTCTGTATAGCCTCACCTTGTCTAACATCAAACAGACCTACATCCTCTATCCTGTTACCGTCACACATTATGAGGACCAGATACTGCAGCCACTCTTAAAGGAACAGTTCACTAAAAAAAAACATTCATTTTAAATTGTAATAATTTTTCACAATTTTCCCTTTTTTCTGATCACATAACTGTAGCCTTGGTGAATACAACATACATTAAATTCCCAAAACTTTTGAACAATCTCTCACAGCACAGGCTATTCGGTGCACCACAGGGGCCGTTCGTGGTATTTTGCACATCCTCTAATCACAGATCTGAACTGCTTTCAGCCCTAAGATCACAAATGTATCCACAATCCATCTGGCTGAAAGGCGTATCTACTGATTTCCCAACAATGTGTGAGAGCTCGTGTGGTCTGACAGCTAAAGAGTGGGTTTCAAGTGCTGAACGCTCACTTTGTCTTTGCTGTGCTTTTTATTAAACAAACCTCTGGAGCGTTAGATGGACAGCAACGGTCACTCAGAACTGTAGTAAAACAGTCAAGCGACACACATATGCATGCCAGTTTATGCACAAGTATGAAATATGCGTATGTTGATGGGATTTGTAATATATACACGTGTGTGTGCATATATATGGCATATGTAAATGAGCACCTTATATATGCTGCCACTTTGTAGTAAAGCTGAAGTCTGGCGTTGAGGAGACGTTCTGTACGTGGAGTATGTTTGAGTCCCAGTGTGTGTGTGAGCAGATGAGAGTGTGTGTGCTGGACTGTTCGGTCTGTTGGGTCCCACAGACCTGCAGCAAAGCACAAATACAGAACACAATGTAGGATATAACAATAATGATGTGCATTTTTACCAACATCCCAGCTAACAGGGAACATTCTCAAAACTTAACGTTCTCTCAAAGTTCTCTCAAAGTTATGAACAAACATTCACAGTAACGTCTTCCAGTAATTTTATCTGGTCTTTAACAATGTTTTCAAAAACGCTGGAACAAAACCTTTTTTTTTTCTCTCTCTGAAACCTTGTAGTTGGACATTGGTCTAACATTTTTTTAAATGTTACTTCTTGGTCCAGAATGTTCAGAGAACATTCAAAAGTAACATTCACATAATTATTGCTAAATTATAAGATTGAATGTTCCCTTAACACTCACATAACCAAGAAAAAATGTTTTTAAAATATATAAAAACTAGAGAACATGGAACAATGATTATATAACTGAATGGGAGCGTTAGCAAAACGTTCTTTGAGCATATCTTTGTTAGCTGGGAGAAAATTGTGCTGACTGCAAAAGAAGCAGTCATCACAATTATGTGCAAATTAACCCTGGGAAATTATATGCATTAACATATATAAAAACACCTACTAATGTAAATGGAGCCATAGTTAACCTTTTACTTTAGTAATTATTTTAATTTTTGAAACTACCAGTTATCATTTGCTCTTTTTTAGAAAGAATAATTATGTAAAATTATTAATTATAAGAAAAATAAGTATGTATAAATATATATTTATATTGTAATAAATATATTATTGTTATATATTGTTAAGTATCATAAGGAAAAATAAGATATATTCTCTGATAAGTTCTCTTTTATGCGGTTTTGCTTCTCAAGTAAATTAATCTCATTTTAAGGACATTTAGATGTTCTTTACTGGAACACAAAACAAAAACACTGATCAAAAACATGATTAATTTGCAGTATAATGAGAATTAGGGTGTTAAATATGCTTAATTATCATCGTGCTTAATCATAGTCAGTCAAATATTAATGGTCCTAAAATAGGTTTGATTTTCTTTGACTTAAAACAATTTCTTAGTGTTTTTCTTTAGATATTTGGGATATTTGGGATGTAACATCACCAAAGGAAAACCGTTCCCAGACTGCATGGTTATGGTATCACAATCATTTGCAAATGAACTCGCATATCAACATTTAATTTCATGAAAAATGAACTATGGCAACACACAGAGGTAAGCCAATCACAATGCAACTCATTTACATACAGAATTCTCAATGAGACAGTAGCAAAAACAGTCCGTTTAATTCTACGGGTCAGATATGGAGGAAAATTGTCATGAAAACACAAAACAAATTATGACTGGTGTTTATACTATACAGCATGGCCTCTTGCACCTTCAAACTGATTGTGTATTTCAGCTGTGCAGGTTTGGTACCTCAGTTTTTCGATGGTGTTCTTCTTATCGCTGGAGAACAGACTGAGAGTTTTCCTCTTAATGCACACGATTATTCCAACACACAGCAGACACAGAAACGCCACCAGGATGCCCACCGTCACACTGCTGCTGTATGCATGTACCCACACACACA